GGCCTAGCATTACTATACTTGTGGGGACCTACATCTGTTTACACAAATGGAGGTCCCGGGGAATCATTACATTTAGGGTGAAGACTTGGTTTTAGGGTTAGGGTAAGTCTCTAGGAAATGCATGTAAGTCAATGTAATGTCCCCTGAAGTGATGTATACATGGTGTGTGTGTGTGTGTGTGTGTGTGTGTGTTACCTGGGGATGAACAGGCGGACCTTCTTCATGTGCATGAGTTTGCTCCAGCTCTTGACGGTGGCGATGCTGATGTGAGGAAGGACTCTGGAGAGAGGGGTCTCCTCCTCCCAGGGAATCACCATCATCATGCTCATCGTGTTCCCGTGGTACGGGAGGTCGATCACTCTGTACTTCAGACCCTGAGGGGTGCTGGCCAAACCTGAGGAGGGGAGGAGAGGAGGAAGAAGAAGTTAAAGGGGTCCTATTCTGCTTTTTAGGGGTTTTCCCTTTCCTTGAGTGTGTTATATAGGTTTTTGTGCATGTAAATGATCTGCAAAGAGGTCCAGACGGAGTTTCTCTCCCACACTAAGGCAAAAGTATGTTTTTATCTGTATTACTTAATGTATGTGTTATGTGTCTATAGTACAGGGATATATGTGTTTTTTCTATTGTGAATTTGCATATACTTATTGTAGCTTTAAAATATTGTAAACGTGTGATATGCTTGTAACTGCTGCTGGAACAAAAATAATTTCCCATTGTACCTATCAAGAGCTTTAACAGTTGGTAAACAAATAAAAAATAAGATAAAAAGTCAAATTAAAATCGAGCAATCAAACCACATTCATCACAAGGACTTGGCATCAATCACTCATTAAAAGCTGGACTGAAAAGGTGAGTTTTGGTCAGTGTTCTGAAGATGGAGAATGCTATCTATCTATCTAATATGGTCCAACTACCAAATAATCGATAGCTGCTGCTGCTATAGTCAGGATGGTTGTAATTATGAAAGATACTCGAGTCTAGATTTGTACAACGCCCCTCGTTATGAATAACAAGTATTATGTGGATATCTCCATCCATTCTCAGGATTTTCTGTTGAAGAACTTCCTGTTTTTGAAACTAATTTCTTTGTTTCTCTGACCGCGCTGGCTGCTCAGTAGGGATGGGTATCGTTATATGCGTTTCCATGTCGGCCTCGTGTGGCCGAACCGTCTATATCAGGGGTGCCCAATACGTCGATCGCGATTGACCAGTCGATCGCAAAGGTAGTGTGGGTAGATGGCATGGCATTGAAAAAAACAAAGGGAAAAAAAAAGTATATTTATAGTTTTTTTTAAAGTTAGCCTATCATCCATCCTTACTATGGCATTTGCCACTTGATTGACGTGCAGGTAAGTCAGTCTGAGTTGTCTTGTGCCATACGGGTTCATGCAGTTACGAGGGGGCCTCCCCTCCTCACCTGAAGCACTTATGCGGCGCAATTAGTTTATCCGCCGTTTAGTCCACTAGCACCCCCCTCCCCCCTAGCGCTCGCGACACAGATTGGGCAGGGGCGGCCCTGTAGGTAGATCTTTTGGGCTTGGTCATTTTAAAAGTAGCTCCCAAGCTGAAAAAGTGTGGGCACCCCTGGTCTATATGATAGAGAACTGTAGCAGATAGGACCGTTATCGTCCTCGTGTGGCCTTAGCCTCAAGATAATACAAAATGAACGGCTTAACTTAGATGTGAAAGTTGTTTTTTGGCCAAAGAAAAGCACATAAAGTCACACCTCGTACCACATTCATTGTCCATGCTTTATATGACCATTAAACTAAATCACGGCACCGTATGTTAATCCCATTAAATGCATACGAGTGTATCAGCCAGGTTATTAAAGGCTGCAAACCTTTTATGAGCAAAGTGTGGTGCAGAAATCCAGCAGTGAACACTCAGCAGGACGAATGTCTGCACTGCATGTCCTGAGTGTAAGAGCAGCACTGACTGAGAGGCTATGCACAGCTCTCATCTAAATATAGACAAACTAGCGAGTGTGTCATTTCATTTCACACCGGACTAAATAATATCCAACCCATGTGGCATGTCGACGCCTGCGTTTCCTCTCCGCTCAACACAAGCTGAACCATGAGTCACAAACTGGCAATGGCTGGGGGACATAACGTCATAAAAACAAACTAAATTAAAGCCGTAAATCTGCAGACTTTTTGATGCCATCTTTCTGGAAGTTATTGTGGAAGGTACAAGCAGTGGTTATTTTAAAGAAATATATGACTTCATGTTAAAGTTAAAGACACTCTGGAGTTTTGGACAATGCATGATGAAACAGTGATGTAAAGAATAAAACATATTGAAAGTATAGACTGTGGAAATGGTTCATAAGGAAGGAAAGGCAAGCGAACGAGAAAAACTCCTTATTAAAAAAAACTTTAAACTCCAACGACTGATAATCCCCTGCACAAGTTAAAGCCAAAGTGTTATAAACAGTACGGTTTGAGTGAAAGTCAGCATACCTCTTAGACTTGGCTTTTACTGCACGAGTTGCAAAAGAGTTTTTAAATCCATGCTGTGAATGGATCTGGCCCTTCCTACATCCAGGACATGGTTAAACCGTACACCCCAGCACGTGCACTCCGCTCTGCATCAGCCAAACGGCTCGCTGCACCCGCACTGCGAGGGGGACCCAAGTTCCCATCAGAAAAAACACGTGGGTTTGATATCCTGGCTCCAAAATGGTGGAATGAGCTCCCCATTGAAATCAGGACAGCAGAAAGCTTACACATCTTCCGGCGCAGACCAGAGTCCTGCACGGGTCTGATTTTCAAGACCCGCTCCCGCGACGTGCAATACCGAACCCGCCCCGCTACCCGCACATATT